CTCACCTCAGCCTCCCAAAGGTGCGGGATTACAGGCTGAGCCACCGAGCCTGGCTCATAAGACCTTTCATCAGACTCTTCCTCTCCCATCCTGTGCCAATCTCCTCGCAACATTAAGAGCAGAGAACTGTAGGATGGACAGAGCTGGGGCAGCTACAGCAAAGGCAGGGAGATGGTCTGCCAGGGGGAAGGGCCATTCAGCCACCATGCACTCCTGCCTCTTAAAAAGAAAGGTGCCAGGCTCGGTGGCTCAGCCTATAATCCCGTGCTTTGGGAGGCTGAGGTGAGTGAATTGCCTGAGCCCGTGGGTTCGAAACCTGCCTGAGCAACTTGGCGAGACCTCATCTCTATAATAAATCAAAAAAAAAAAATTAGCCGGGAGTGGTAGTGTGCACCTGTAGTTCCAGCTACTCGGAAGGCTGAGGCGGAAGGATCGCCGGAGCCCAGCAGGTCGAGGCTGCGGTGGCCGGGAGCAGCCACTGCACTCCAGTCTGGGCAACAGAATGAGACTCCCACTCAAAAAAAAAAAAAAAAAAAAAAAAAAAGGAAAGGCGGAGAAGGAACCATAACAGGACAAGAAAACAGGAAGCATGTGCAGGAAGACTTGTATCAGCAAATCAAGACTGACTTGAAGCCAATAATGAGGATTAATATCAGATGTCCAAGGGCAGAGAAGCTTCTGTCTTCTCCTATTCGTCAGGCCCAGGAGAGGGGACACTTTTCCTTTCCTTTTATCCTCTAAAAGATGGTCTCCATTACTCCAAACCTGGGGCTCCTGGCTCCAATTTGTCTCCTTTTCTGGGCTCACTGGCAGAAGTTGACACGAAGGGCTCTTCTTTGGTGATATGAGCACAGGGTTCTCCTGGCCTCTGCTCCTTGATGGCTTTCTCTCCTGCTTGCTCATGGGTGTGGCTGTGAGACCGCAGGAAGGCAACCAAGCTAGGATCTAGAGGTGAAGGTGGAGGGCAGAATGAAGGCAGATCCTCCCTGGCCTCCTGCAGACCTGAAACCTACTGACTATTGCCTACCTGGGTGTGCCAAGGACAGGACAAGCTACTTCCCAACCTGGGCCTGCACCCCAGGGGCTCTCCTGTGGCCCTTCAATGACTCTGCCTTCTCGCACCTGTTGAGATCACTGGGGCCTGCCTATCCACCCTTTCCTCTGCTCCTCACAGTCCCCTGACCCAAGTTTCTATGCCTGTCCCTGTGCTTGTGTCTACATCACAGGTCCAAAGCAGCTATAGAATAAGTGAATGAATGTTGACTAGAGCCAAAGGGAAGGCATTTAGGGAAAGAATTTCCCTCTTCATCTCTCAGCTAACTTATTTATACACACGTTTACTAAAAACCTAGTATGTATTACACTCTAAGGGCCAGTGTACAGCAGGGAACAAGATCACCTGGGTGCCTAGCATTCTGGTGAACAGAAGCTAGGAGAGAGGTGTGGCATAGTATAATATCAAAGAATAACTGCAGTTATACTAAAGTATGTGTCATAAAACACAGTGTACACCTACCAGGGTATACAGTTATACACAGCATGGTGGTTAAAAGCAGAGCCTGAGAGTCCAAATAGACCTGGGTTTAAATCCTATCTGTGTTCCTTACCAGCTGTGTGACCTATGGAGAATTTCTTCAAGTTTTGGGCCTCAGTTTTTCTCATAAGCAAAATGAGGTTAATACCACCTACCTCACAGGACAAGCTTAAACACAGTATGGAATAATGCATTAAAATACTCGCCAGGCTCGGTGGCTCAGCCTGTAATCCCACGCCTTTGGGAGGCTGAGGTGAGTGGACTGCCTGAGCCCGCGTGTTCGAGACCTGCCTGAGCAACTTGGCAAGACCTCATCTCTACAATAAATCAAAAATCAGCCGGGTGTGGTAGCGTGCGCCTGTAATTCCGGCTACTCGGAAGGCTGAGGTGGAAGGATCACCGGAGTCCAGCAGGTCGAGGCTGCGGTGGCCAGGAGTGGCCAATGCACTCCAGTCTGGGCGACGGAGTGAAACTCCAACTCAAAAAAAAAAAAAATACTCAGCACAGTGCCTGGAACTCACAGTAAGCCTTCCTCAATAAATAGTGGTCCCTTCCTAGCTTGGTCTCAATGGGATGGCCAGGTGCCCATACCAAGCTGGGCCAGCAACCGCTGCTGTTCCTGCAGGATCTCCTCATGAGTCATGGCCTGCAGCCTTTCTACGTTCTCTTCATGGATGGTCTGGGCTTCCTGGTCAGCCTTCTGGGCCCTGAGCCCCTTCCCCGTGACCAGACTGGGTCCCTGGAAATCGTGGCTGCTCCTAGGAAGCTGGTTGTCTTGGTCCCTAGGAACCAGTGTCTCACAGGTCACAGCACCTGGAAGAAATGTATGATCAGTTCCATCACCCCACTCTCCTCTGAGCCTTCTGGCCCTCTTTCATAAGTCTATTAGCCCTGGAGACAAGCACAGTTTCAAGTTTTCCCAAGCACAGAATGGAGACCCCACTGGGTCTGGTATAAGACTCCAGGCACTCTGGGTTGAGGAGGTCTTCTCACTTACTCATTCCCTAGGACTTACATGAAAAGGTTTCTGACTCTTCTCTTGGATGTCTAAGCAGCCATCTATGACTAGGAGACTGCCCCAGCTCTTCTGCTAGTAATTTGCACCATGAACAGAACCTTGGGCTGGCACAGGGGCTCATGCCTGTAATCCCAGCACACTTTGGGAGGTCAAAGCAATAGGATTGTCTGAGCCCAAGTGTTTGAGGCCAGCCTTGGCAACATGGCAAGACCCTGTCTCTATAATAAATTTTTTAAAAATTAGCCAGGCGTGGTGGTAGGTGCTTATAGTCCTAGCTACTTGGAAGGCTGAGGGGGAAGGATCACCTGAGCCCAGCAGATTGTGGCTGTGGTAGCTGTGATCACTGCACTGCACTCAAGTCTGGCTGACACAGTGAGACTCTGACTCAAAAAAAAAAAAAGAAAATAGAAAAAGGCCAAGCCTCTTCAACCCAATTACCCTCTGGTGGGTCCAGGTTGGGCACAACCTCTCCAGGTGATGGAACCCTGGCTTCAAGTACATTCCTTGCTGCAATTTCCTGGGCAAAGATGCTTCTCTTACCAGATGTTGCTGACTTCCCCTGTGGGACAAAAATAAAACCCAGGTTACTGATGCTCATCAACCCCTTCAAATCAAGGTCTCCAGAACAAAGAGATAAAAGGGACTCTGCTCAACCTCCAGGCAATACAGCCTTCATCCTCAGACAAAGCAGAGCTCCACAGGAGTAAAAGTCTTTCTTTTTTTTTTTTTTTTT